ATATATATATATATATATATATATATATATTTGTTTTTGTTTTATAATGACACTTTATTCTATATCTCTAGGCGAGAGGTTAAGTAGCGACCAGCTGAATTCCTTTTTAGAATTACTGTGGCCTCCTACAACCTTTTTAAGAAAGAACTCGGGCAATTTTAAAGATTATATTGATTTTATAATAAGACATTCTCAGGGAATAATTCAAGAAATACACATTTGAAATAACTTTAACTTTCTTATTCTTTGAGCCATTAAATTGGATGGTGACCAATTTTATGATTTTTCGCTGTAAAATGTCTGTGGTTTTAAATTACAGTGGCAAACTTTTAAGTGATCAATGTTCAATGTTCAAAATTTTAGCTATAGCGCCCTCGTTAGTGTGTATGAAGTAGCAATCAAATTTATGTCAATCATCTTCAGATCGTCAGCGCCTGATTAATTATCATATCTTTATTCTTTTTGTACGAGGCACGTTGAATATACTTGCTGAAAAGAAATCGGTCGCGATTATGATAACTATTCATGATTTAAAAATCAAGGTAAGTAATTCTAGGTCCTAAGTATAAGAACAACTTTTGTGACTTAATAAAAATATATAATTTACGTAGAGGTGTTAGGCCTGACCTATTAAATTGATAATTGATTCTATATTATGCGTTCATATTACACAGTTATTAGGCCTATGTATGAATACAGTACGAATGATGTGCTGACTAGGCCTAGGCCTACTTAGCCAAATTTTAAATATAATGAAATACTAAAAGAAAGTTAAATTAAGTCCAAATGAAATCATGAAAGCCTACGCCCTATGTTCAAACTTAAAGTAAAGAAATAAATATAAAAATTAAAGGAAGCGCTAGTTGTTCCACGGTCCACTTCTGATGGCCTTGTGCAATACATGTCAATCAACCTTTATTTATTGGAAAGAGTTTAATGATGTTTATTGATACTGATAGTTTATTGTTGTATTCATTATTATATAATATTAATTAGGCGTTAACGAGTCGATCATCATCGGCCTAGGCTAAGGCCCCATAAAAAGTCATAAGAATGGAATCAAATTTAGGCCTAGGCCTATATTTAAAAAATATGTTTTTGTTGTACCAGTAAACATACTTGCAAGAAATCCTGAGCTTTTCAAGTGAAAAAAGGATGGAAAAACGACCGTCTGAATTTCCCCAAAAGTGATGAGGGAGGGTGTGATAAACTAATAATTTGTTGTTATGTGGCCTAAGCTAAGTTTACTGTTCAGTAATTTGAAAATACTGTATTTTCTTTCGTACGTAGGCCTAGGACCTACTCAGCTACTCTGTGTACTTCTATCTGATATCTTTATTTCAATATGATACCTAGAAAATTATGGTAATTTTAATTTAAAGTTAAACAAAAAATAGTTTGTGTTATTGGAGCACAACGTTTTTTTGAATCGGGAAGTTTATATACTGACTGTACGGAAACTCTGACTGAACAATACTATACTAGGCCTAGTAGTAGTACTAGTAGTACAAGTAATCCGTATTGAAGGGCCCACGTGTAGTAACGAAACTTGTTTTTCTTGTTGTGTGTAGGCGCGAGATCAAGATTGTAACAATTTGTATGTTTATACGCGCTGAGTATCACAACACTTCCTCCCGCCAAATTAGGGCATTTAAAAACATTCATAGACATAGCCACCTTCTTATATGCAAAATCAAAAAATACTAAATAGACGTGTTGGATTTATTCTATTAAATGTAGCATTATTATTTCATACGGTATTTTCTCTAGACTCTATTCCTATAAATGGGTGATAATCATAACACTATTGTAGTAGGCCTAATACGCGGCCAAAGAGTAGCGTAATTGTCACAGCCAGATTAACGAACGTGTAGGCATAGGTTAGCGCCTTCGAGAATAGTGATTTGTTTTTCTTCGGGAAATTTGCCAATCGGTTAATTTGGTTTTGGATTCATTAACGTTCTGCATGCGTGCTAGCAATAATAAAAGTACTATCATAACAGGTAGTTTCACGAACGGTCTTCTCTTTCGACATAGGATTATGTTTCCTTATTATAAATAAATTATAAGGCTTCACGTAAAAAAAAAGAAGAAAGACTATCACAGCCAAAATTGGAAGTAACACAGTCCACAAGTATTCGTAAACAAGTTACATTAGACGTTAGCCTCATAAACCCCTTAGAACGTCACCAGGGTCCATGCACTAAGCTCGACTATCACTTGTTGCATTTCAGCTAGGAAATTGTCCACAACTTAGAAAATATGCGGGGCTACATTTATAAAAGATTGCTTTTAGTTTACTAAGCTAAACAACAAATATTCGTCTGAAGTTACAGGCCACGATACTACCTGACAACACGTTAAAAATTGTTTAAAACCAATGCGAAGCTATTTATGAATTTTCTGCGAGAAAGAACTATTCCGAATCGAACCCTAATCTTATCAGCGTTCGCACTGTGATCCCCATTGACTCTGTTGATTATCTAGCTGTGACGTAGGCAGAGAACGAGTCGTGACAAAATCCCCGTGTAAACAAACTCCCCAAGTCAGATGAGTAGCGGGAATCGTGATTGGCATCTTTATCGTAAATAGCCCCGCCTACAGCCTACTGGATCACCGCGTTTCAAAGTCTGAACTGGATCGTATCACCACCCGGAATAGAACACAGCTAGATTTAAAATCGTTGAACATCGTGGTTTCGAAAACAGTTAATTGTTGGATTCCGTTGAGAACAGAGGCTCGACTAAAGTAATAGTAGTTAACAGCAAAATATGTCCACCGCGATGGTGTCGCCTCTCTTCGATGCAGATATTCTTAAGGTAGTTATTTGTTTTTGTTATTTGTTCTACAACTCGTATCAATATTAGTTACATGCAAGTTATAATTTGACCTGTGTAAAAGAGAGCATGACTTGTTAATATAATAATAAATATATGTGAGCTGTTGACATTCCCCAGAATATGTTTCATTGCACGAAGAATACAGAGCAATATACGTCTAACGTTTATTCATATGTATTAGAGCCAAAATTTACTAAGTAAAAACATATAGCTGGCATAAGCCCTAGCATATTATATAAAAGATAAATGTGTCCAGCCTAGGAAGAAAGCCATTTCAGCCACTTGTTGCATGTATCATATCAGTTTAACGAAACAATTACGATAAAGGTTGAAATACTACTACGTGTACTCTATCTATCGACATCTTTGAGTGCGATACTGTACTCTGACTACATGCCCTGCTCTAGTCCATACCAGTTTTGGCTAGAGAGGTGTATATTTCGGTTCCAGTTGGGTTATAATCAAAAGAAACCTACCTCAACGGCCTGTTTCCCCCTCAACGAAATAGCATGCTGAAAAAATAATGTAAAAATATCAGTAGGAAGATATAAATCGATTATTTTTTTCTTTTTGAATTTCTCTCTTGTAACTAGGAATAGAATGTACATTTTTACTGTGTAGAAGTTCATACAAACAAGTATATTTTTTCTCTGCATTTTCATGCTCTTGTATACTTGTACATAATACATACACAGCGTAGAGTACAGTGTCTTACAACAAACCGACCATACGGTACCACTATTGGAAAAATATTGTGATGATCGATCATCCGCCGTGATTATTTATATCAATTGGGGTTTTTTTAAACTTAACTGATCGTTCCAGTCTTAAAATACCAGGGAATTGTTATACACTGTTATGCCTAAAAGTTCTATATGGACTTATAATTATTAAACAATCTCAGAACTGCTAAACAATAAAATATATACAGCAGACTCAACGGCAACGATTTCCAACTAACTTTCTCTTTCAGAATAATAATCTAAGCGAAACACTCTGCTCTGAGACGTGCTGTAAATGTTTCAGCAAAATATGAAAGGAAACACTTTTTCCTGTGCTCATAGTGTCTACTGTTACTGCAGCTTAGTAGTAAATTGTGCTTTAGGAAAATCAATAGAATAATTAGGTGAAGCACTTTAAGCCTACTAAAAGCTTATGTACTAACTATTGCAGGGTATCCTTTTATACAAGCCACAAAAAGTCATGCATTTGAAAAAAAAAAGAAAGAAAAAAAAAATAGCCATTATAAACCATGAAACTCGTGCAGTGATTCTGTTTGTCCAAGAAAAATGTAAAAAAAAAATGTCTAAATCAAGTACCATGTATTACTGTACAGTAGTTAAAAATGACATAAATTTTTTTCCCGCCCACGCAGTACAACATGCAATAAAATAAGTAGGCCTATTTCTGAAAATGATTGCATTGGCAATAGTTTTTTTTTTTTTTCATCTTATGGCGTTGGTGTTATTAATGTTTTTTTTTTTCTTTGTGTACGAGTTATTTACTATACAAGGTCCCATAAATCGGGTGCGAAATCAGTTAACGATTTGTTGAAAATATTCTATCCTGATTGTACAATAGTGTAAAAAACATGTAGGCTACCGTAAAAATCATTAGAGCAAAGCATATCGAGTTCGTATTTAAATCTATATAAATAACTAAAGTATTATTGGTTTTTGTATGAGGACATTTATTAAATCAGTTGTATATATGATACAATCTGATATGTGAATATGTTTTTGATTGATTGTAGACCGTTTCGCCTTACACTTTAGAGGAGGATAAAATCCTGTTTTAGGGCCTCTTTTAGCTTGTTTAGTGCCTCGGCATTGTTAACGCTTGGCAAACACTCATCGAGGACTAAGTCCGCTCATCACAATGCTTGCCTAGCCACTTGTTCAATTCGTCTATTCATAAATGAACACTTATATTGTATGATTTTAAAGCATTGAATCATACCAGACAGAATAACAATAGCGCGACTACATAGTACTCTTTAATTGTTAGCTATTTATTCCATTCAAATGATCATGGTTAATTTTTTTTAAGCAACTAAAGTTGGTCTTAAAAACTTTATAAAGAAATAATTTAATAACTTTAGTTAAATTTTAAGATCTTAGATAATAATATTTGTCTCTTGACCTCATGTTTTAACGTATTTTAATTCAGTGATTGTAAAATATTATTGTTTTTTTCTTTTTCTTCACAGCAGTTGCCAGGGGATCGTAAAGCTGTTGGTACCCCTCTTGGAATCACTCGACGACATTCCACTAGTTCGACACAAATGTCAATAACAGGCAGTCGAAGTAGCAATCTATTCTTCAATTCGGACTCAGGAATCTTTAATAATAAAGAAAACCATTACTCGTCTACTGTGATTATGAGCAAGAATCTGCCCAGGGATCGTGCACTAAGCGAGAGCGCAAATCTGCAACAACAACCACGCAATCACCAAGTTCAACCGAACTCGAATGTGAATCGCTTTAAAACCGAGATTTGTCGTCCGTACGAAGAAACGGGGAGTTGTAAATACGGTGATAAATGCCAATTCACTCATCTTCCTCGCAGTATTCAACAACAACCACAACAACAGCCTACCAACTCGAGCCGATACAAAACAGAACTTTGTCGACCTTTTGAAGAAAACGGTTCCTGTAAGTACGGAGATAAATGCCAGTTCGCCCATGGATTTCACGAATTACGAAACTTACAAAGACACCCCAAGTACAAGACCGAACTCTGTCGCACATTCCATACTGTAGGATTTTGTCCTTACGGACCGCGGTGCCATTTTATTCACAACCCAGAAGAGAAACGTTCGTCTGGACCTCCACCAACAAACAAGGCGATTGACCGAGCGATTGAGCGACCAAAGTCGTTGCATCTTAACTCCGGAGCATTAGGATCGACGGGTGACTTGACACCTCCACATAGTTTAAACGATAGTCCAAATCCAATGTCGCCAGAAACGCCACTATTTACTGAAGATGTACTATTGGCAGCTTTGAATCACGTGAACTCAAATGGAGGAGCATTTAATTTAGTTTCAGATTTGAACACAATTATGTCGCCCAACATGCCTCTGTCACCTCAGGTTCCACAGAGCCCATTTATGTACAATCTTAATTCCCCATTTGCCGCATTTACACAACAGCTTACAATCAGTAGCGACATCCCAGAACCCCCTGGATTCTCAAGACACGATAGCTCCAGCGTGTTTTTCCCCGCCGACGAGCCCAACAACATAGGTAGTTACAGACCACCTTCTCCGCCAGATTCTCTGTCAGACCCAGAGAGTTTGTGTGGCGATTCCGTGACTGCAGGTTCTCCAGTATTCACTCCTAACTCTGCCTGCAGCCCTGGTGCCACCGGACGTCTTCCCATATTTCGAGGCATTTCAGTCGATGCCGCTAGTGACCAAATTTACAGAACGGTTCTTAGTACCGAATAAACTCAAGGAGATGACCTTGCTAAAAACATGAACTACAAAACAATTTTTTTACGAAATAATCTTGTTTATCTTTGTAATCATATAAATAGCTGAAGATAATATTTTATTGTTATTAATAATGTAAATGGTATTAATGTTCTTGTTACGGAAGACTTTGCTCTCCAGAGGGCGTTTCTGTGCTCGTCCCATATTTTCCAGAAGTAATAATTATTAAAACTATTTATTAAGTTACGGGATGAAGATGTTAGTTGAGGCTGTATTGTACGTACAAACAAGTATCTATTTATGTTTATTGTAAGATGTGTAATTTGTTATATTATTGGTGTTGCTGTGGTTTTAACACTTGGTATTGTCTTTTCAAAACTAATTAGTAAAAATTGTGTCCAATAGTTTTCATTGTTTTGCGAAGACATTGATTAAAATGCAGAGCATTTTAATCGAGTATTAATATACGATATAGAGATTTCCCATTGTTCAAGAAGATAGTATATTTAAGTTATCCGTGTTATTTATTTCTCAAGAAAATGCATTTGTTGAGTAAAACTTTTGTCATTTGTTTTTGAATATTTATCAATATTAAAATCAGAATCAGAAACTCATTGTCAGAATGCGATAATAATATTAATAATAATATTAATAATAATATGTATTGTAATTTGTTATAACTTGTGCTCTATTTAGTACACTATATAGTTTTTGATTATTTAGTATGATATTTAAACAAATATATCCACCGCATTCTCTTTCCGAAAATTAAATTTAAGTTATTCATGTAAATCGTGTGTAAATATAGATTGGTGGCTTCAAGTTTGTGTTATAAAGTAACCGCTTCCCATTAACTACTCTGCTACTGGTTACTTCTGTTATTTTATTGATGTGTGTGTTTGGATAAACGACAAAAATATGTATAAATGTACATAAAATTACGTAAAACAGCTGTAATGTAAAGTTGTTATCGATGATAATGTTCAAATATCAGTCAAGTGCAAGCAAAGAAATTTTTAAATATTTGCGTTAATTAAATTATTTTGTACACTTTTATTTTATTTACTTAATCGTGTGGTAACTAGTTGTACGCGTATGCGTGCTACGCACGAACTTAGCAACTCTACTTAATAAATTAATAATAAACGGTACGGGGAATTTGGAACCGTCGAAACGGGTAGTGTTAACGAGATAGGACGTTGTCTCCAAGCCTCGTTAAAAAAAGCTTCCTAATCTATGCAGGTTTTAAAGTACTGTACTTGATGTTTAGTGCCTTTATATATACAAACATTTAAATTATATTCATTTACACAAAGTGTGGACGTTATCAGAAAGAATTAAACTGAAGCATTTTTGACAAATATCGGTATTTAGTATTTTTAAAGACAAATGTTACGATATTATTAACATTACTCGAATTAATGACAATTTATCTTGTAGTTGGTTCCAGTTTTAAAACTATGCAAACTTATTACTTAGCAGCTTAGCCTGCCAATGTTCTCAATATTGAATGAAATATCTGAATTTGTGTACGTTGAATATATATTTTGAAACCAACCAAAAGATTGCGTTAACAGTTCTTATCGTCTAGTTGTCGACTTTAGATCCACTCTATTTGCGTGTGGGTCGTTTTTTATGTGCAAATTAATAATCTTTCGTACGTCGAAAGATCACTTTCTTATGTGTTCAATAAATTAAATAAAACCGTTAAAAAACCAAACTTCGTATACGAAGATATTAGTATTTTAGTAACGACAATTTGGTTTGTCATTTATATGTATTCATACTAGGCATGAGATAATATGAGAGATGGTGCATTTGAGTGAGTTAAGGTTTCAAAGAGTACGTGGAAAAATAAAGAGTTCGCCAAAGCAAATATAAAACATTGAATAGTGTTTGTCGATGTTTTCCTTGTTTCTACTTTATTTCAGCTCACAAACGTGCGATACACAAATTATCTGCTAATTGAGACTTTCTACTGTTTCCAGCGAAGCATAAATAGTAAAAGTAATAGTGAAACGCTATTAAAATATGGGCATCTTGTTTTAAAGCTGATTTATGACGAAATACAAAGCAGAGTTTCCTGTTACTGTATTGTACTATGGTTCAGTTGTTGGCCATGCATCGTGATTAAATATTTATGCATGTCTTCCAATCACAGACTCGTCGGTTCAAATCCTAGGCTCAAACACTATCTTAAGATACTGTGCAATATCGAATAATACATCCACAGAATCGTGACTTTTTGGTATCCCCAAGTTGTGTTCGCCTGCAGTATAATGCAGTACAATATTTTTACTGCCACACAAGGCTAATCACATCACAGTTTATCATCTAGTCAGTACTGTAATTAAGAAGTATCGACACACTCTATTAAGATATTTGCGGCGTCATCCACTGCTACACAATTAAAATAGACAGTACATTAAATAATACTACTGTAGTGATTTTGAAGGAGTACAGAATAATTATTTAATACAGTATAAACTTTCCACATCAATCAGGCACATTCAAAATACGTATATCACAATATTTTTTGGTTTTTTGTTTTGGTTTATTTATTTATTTATTTTTTTTTTTTGTTCATTTTCTTTTGTACATGTAAAATACAACACATCATTATAATCGAAAACTTCCGTTGCTGAACACATTACTTTTTGACAAATTTATGTACAATACCACCAACACAAACGAACTTAAAAAAGTACAACTCGCATAAACAATGAGAGAAATCATCTAAAGAAAAACGCTATTATAAAATAAGCTGTAAATAAACAAGATATCACTTCAGTGGTCTTTATTGTACAGATTCGACTGTACAGCAACTGGAACTACACAATGACACCCGGAAACTGTTCTGTAGTTCTCAGGTTTGCTGGCAGCAGTGTGATTTAATATGAAGGTCATTTAAAGTGACACTGCAGTCATCCGGGTTCTTTTCGAGGCTACGTGTGTACTGATATGCAATAATCCATTAAATAATGGAGGAACGTTTCGTATCTTTGCAAGAAAGTGAGAATTACGTAACAATTTTGATAATACTGTACAGTACTTCTGTGTTGATAAACCACACAGGAACTGGCAACGAAAAAACATAAGCTGTATGATCTGCATTTTCTGAACATAAAGAGTGCTGATAAATAATAATAATAATAATAATAATAATAAATTATATATAATATGTGTTTATATGTATATTTTTTATGCATATTTCTCCTTTTTATGTATTTGTTTAGTTAAGTTTGTACCTTTTTATTTACGAACGCACCGATTGTCATCGAGTGCCACCGATCTAAAGGTGTAAGTTCAAATAAATGAATAAATAAATTTAGGGAGTTTCTTATTGTGGATATTGTTTGAAGCATGTTTGAAGTAACAGTGTACCTTTAGAACGGTGGCACACACAATTCGTGTGGTGCGGTCGGATAACAATAGCAACTAGAATGCAAAGAAAAGAAAACAAACAAAACTACTAAATCATATAAAGAAAAAGCACAAGAAATTAACCAGCAATTTAAATAAATCCTACAGCTTAACTCAAAAGTTTTAACAATACAATTTGAGATTGTAAACTAAAGGAACAGAATCATAATGTAAAATTGAAGTCAAAATATAACAGAGGTGAACTAACTAAAATTACAAAAAGCTTGTAAAACAAGATGAAGCACCATTATCAAAAATATAAATAAATAATATAATAATATAATATATAATATATATATACTTATATGTATAAAAGTATATATATAAGTATATATAATATAATATATAAACTTATATATACATATTATACGTTTACACACACATTTCCATACACACACATATATATACATATATACATTACACACATACCAGTACTGTATTTACATGCAAACACATACATACATACATATAAATAGGCCTATATGAGAGTCTCTTTTAATTAAATGACTTTTGAAGTAAACATATTTAAATCAAAGAAACAGATTTTGCTTCGATCATTTGCCGAGTCTGATGGTACCTTGTGATATTTACTAGAGACGTTACGGTCCATCTTTAAGCTTATAAGTATCAAGTATTTCAAAACGGATTGACCATATTTTCCTGTAAAGATGCGGACACAAGTCATTAATGAAAAAGATACTTTCATTGCACCGCATGACGATAATTTATAGTGGGTTTTTTAAGTTCATTAGTCAGTCACTGGCCAGCGTTATCGTGAATCGTACCACTGGGATCTAGCTCCGAGCAGTAAACATTCATTCGTGATTTATTGGGTCGTGGGTTTGACGGTTGAAACAAAAAACGCACGAAGATATAAATAATAATAACAACGTGTATGATGAACTGGAATTATAGCGCCTTCCTTGTTGTTATACTCTTTATTCCCCATCCCAACATGCATGGTCCAACCCATAAAAATGTCATACTTCTATATAATTATTTATAACAAATTATTTCTACACAAGTTATGCTGTTCCGGCTCCGTACCTTATTGGATTTTCATTACGCAGCCTAAAGGAACCATGCAGAAGAGGGTTGTTCCAGTGAGGGGAAACGGGTTGAGCGGGAAAAGATCGTCTGGAAAAGATTGTCTGGTTACAGTTCTATATGATTCTGTATAAAAATTTAATTCTACTTATACATTCCCGTACCTAATTCTTGCATTTCCATTAAGCAGCCTAAAGGAACCATAGGGTTGTTAAAATGAGGGGAAACGACTTGAGCGGGAGAAGATTGTCTGGTTATCTGTCTTGTTTTCCGTCATATTGGAAAGATTGTCTGATCATTCCTCCATGGTTTAATTGATGATAGGATTGTTATTATGTAGAGATGAGGCTTGGAAGTATATTTAGTTTCGATGATTACATAAGATAACAGGTTGTTGAGTAGCATACTTCGTTTTATTACAACAGGCGACATTCCATCGCGCCGGGTTCTGAAATCTGACGCTTGGGAGGTTGGCTTGCGATTATTTACTCTCTGAAATAAGATCCCGGTAGTGTTGCGTTTGCGGTCAGCTGTTCAGGCTACAAGCAGACGATTGAATAACGAGCAAATGATCGCCAAAAATAACTCCTACGTCATAACATCGTCAATAAGATGTACAACGTCAAAGATAACAGATAGGCCTAGGCCTAATCAAAGGTGGTGGTGGTGATGGTGGTTGTTGTGTGCGACATCGCATCGCTCTGAGCATGGATCATTCGCTATATAACCCTTTTGCGGGTTTGCGCATTAGGTAAAAACCACCAGTATGCCTATTTTAGTTACACCTGATGCTTGCTCAACTCAACAGAAACCACAATCTGTCACGTGACACTCGATAGACTGTTTAAAATGTCATTCCCCACGTGATCACGTAAAGTGTATTCATCGCGTGCGCCTCTTTCCAAGACAGCATCAAATTGGCACATCCTGCGCGTCCGAAAATGATGACCGTTGGCCCTACTCGAGAGCTGCACTCAAGCAACCCGTTCGTCAAGATTAAGTTTTCGAAAGCTATGAATTGAGTGAGCATGCTTTCGCTATTATTAATCGAATTACATGTTGACGTGAAGCAGCTAATTAGCCGCATATCAAACATCGACCACGCCCATCTAATAATTAAGCAAGGATGTCATGTAATTAGTTAAAAATCTTAGTTAAAAATCACCTCCGTTATCGATACTATTTTTAAACCAGTCACTGAGGATACCATCTTATTGACTTTTTGAATACAAGTCAGACCCCAAATCTAAAAGGATCTTAGTTTATTTGTGATATTAACTGTCGTCACTCCATAACCTGTCAAACATTGGTAACGCACTTTCAGTTTCGGTCAAAGTCACGTTTGCTAGACCATAACATAGGAGTTATGTTATTATAACCCCATCACCATTCACTTTGGAGTGATGAAGCCATATACTAATTTTATATTAAACAACCATACAGTTTATTACACTGTCTAACCAACACTACGGTGTACCGTATATTATTACCGAAAAAGTACTATAAATGCCAACTTATTTGACATTAGATTCTTTTTAAAAACTATATTATTTTACTTTAACACAAATGCAGGATTTATGTTAATTTATTGATTAAATTATTTGCCCCATTTAAATATTTAAAATAATAGTTTTATTACTAATTTTTATCATTGGGCTCATTTTTACCACCTGTCATTTGGGGCGATTTTTATACCTGTCTCTTATACACATCTAGATGTGTATAAGAGACTAAAAGGCAGTACAATTCTAACAGGTTGTTCATTCATTTCTTGACTAGTAGGCCTATTTACATCTGTAATGACTGTATTTTACTTTTAAAAAAATGCAGGATTTATGTTAATTTATTGATTAAATTATTTGCCCCATTTAAATATTTAAAATAATAGTTTTATTACTAATTTTTATCATTGGGCTCATTTTTACCACCTGTCATTTGGGGCGATTTTTATACCGAGGCCATTTTTACCGGACCATTTTTACCGTACATCCCACTGAATTATACTACCCCTACCATTTAATACTATACAAACTACTAGGCCTACTAATATGGGGTGGTCCCCCTCCACCCTCCAGCTCTTCTGTCCCCTGCTATTGTACTACTTACTACTACTGTGTACTGAACTATGTATTAGGCCTATTTTGAATACAGTACTAGAAGGAGGCCCCAATATAAGATCTAAAATGTGTGTGGACGTAGGTGTTGGATTTTCTGGTTGTCCCGGAGGAACACTGTTCGTGATGAGCAAATGCGTTGGCATATCTTGTGGGACCATGGCAACAGTCAATCGTTTATTATTTTCATGACGATATGTTTGAATGTTCAATTATAACGAAAATGCGTATGAAGACGCCGATGTTGTGACGACAGCGTAGTATTTTTTTTCCTTCGTGGTAGAGAGAGAGAGAGATGTTTTGAACGTCCGTGATAATGAGAGTGGGGTGTGCTGAGCATCTGTAGATGAGAGAGTGTGTGTTGAGCGTCCCAGGTGAGGATAAAGGGGTGTTGAGTGTGGGGTGCTGGTCATCCGTGGGCAGAGGAGAGAGGGAGTGTACTGAGTGTCCGTGGTAAGAAGAGTGGGGTGTGTTGATGGACCGTGGTAAAGGAGAGGGGTGTGTGCTGAACGTCCATGGTGCTCCATATCGTACAACCAGTGCCGGGTCATTTTAGTTTACGGTCACGAAAATAATAATATGATTTAGGCCTATATGCTAGTAAGGATTACTTAGAAATGTACATAGGGCCTATAGTCGGCCTACGATGATGCTCATATCGTGTTTTAGAACAAAACGTGCATTTAGGACGCAAGAACATTTAAAAACAAAACAAAATTACATATAGGCCTATTTGTACAAAAATCGGTGTTGTATTTATATAGAGAGTACATGCCTCATCCCCTGAAAGGATTAGGAAATACACCTTTTAAAAATGCACAATAGACCTCCTTCTACCCAAGAAGACCACCAGAAGCGGTGTCAGTTACATCCAGTCCACCAGGAAACGTTTTACATTGTGACGTCATAGTGCTGCATTGAACGATTATCAAGTGGCTCCTGCTCCTCAGGGTTCGCTTCTCCGATTGCCTAGAGGATGATTACGTAATGAGTGACAACTCCAGAAGCAGGAGGAGATTTTCATATGTTTTTTCACTCATTTTGTCGCCAGGGGTGATTAGCTTACAGCCAATTTAACCATCCTACATACAAGGCCACTGTTTATCGTTTATCATTTGTCTAGTTAACCAGTTCCCAAAAATTTAGAATTGCTCATAACCATGCAGAATACTGTAGAAAGATATTCCGTCAAAAAAACAAGAAGACAAGAACACTGAGGCTGAATTAATTAAAAATTATGAACAAAATAAGAACAGATTGAGGCTGAGGTAAAATGTCGAATGAGGTTTTATTTTTGTTTAAATAGAAAAAAAAACAAATCTATCTGTACCTTGTTTGCAGTAGGTATGACTATGGAAATAATACAGTACACTAAATACTGCTGTAAGCTAATAATTTTCTATGTTTGAATGTTTAAAAATAAGAAAAAATTAAAAACATTTTGACCCTGAAATCGGCAGAAAAATATGTCGATGTCGATAGAAAAAAAATAAGAAGAAGAACACAAAGTGTGGCTAAATTTTACTGGTTCTTGAAAAAAGTGATGTATAAAAACTTTTAAACTTTAATTTAAACATTAGTATGGTGCTTAGGCTATATATAAAAATAAGACCATGTTACTCGTAAGGGGATTTTTTTTTTTACTAAATATCAAGGTTATTTTGTTGTATTTTATTAGGCATAGGTTTATTGAGGAATGTATTTTATATGTAAATGATGATGATGATGATGATAAAGAAATTATGTAAAATTGTTTGAATAAAGGTGGGTGTTCCCCACGAAAGATAAAAACAAAACAAAAATAACTTTAATTTAAACATTAGTATGGTACTTAGGCTAGATAAAATAAGACCATGTTACTCGTAAGGGGAATTTTTTTTTGTTACTAAATATCAAGGTTATTTTGTTGTATTTTATTAGGCATAGGTTTATTGAGGAATGTATTTTTTATGTAAATGATGATGATGATGATGATGATAAAGAAATTATGTAAAATTGTTTGAATAAAGGTGGGTGTTCCCCACGAAAGATAAAAAAAAAACAATTAAAAAAAACAAAACTTTAGTTTAAACATTAGTATGGTACTTAGGCTAGATAAAAATAAGACCATGTTACTCGTAAGGGGATTTTTTTTGTACACGAGGTTGCCACACTGTCGTAGCTTTGATCAGGATATCGACATATTTATGGATACTCATTGCTTTGTTAGGATTTATGAAGGATTTGCTACATGTTGCTGTGTTTATTTCTGAAAATAAGAAAGTTACCCCCTCCCCCTCAAAAGAAAAAAAAAAACCCGAGAATGCATGAAAAAGTGAAAATGTCTTAAAACAATAGCTACTGTGATATAGGGAGACCTATTTGCATGATAAGAGACTGATAGGCCTATTAGACTTAATTTGATCATGAACATGACCCCGTTTTGGAATACGTAAAGCGGGGGATTTTGGCGGGCTCAGCATAAACAGCAGACTATCACGTATCTCTGTTTCAAAATGCTGCTCAAATCACACAAATAGTTAAATGGAGACATCATTGTCACGTATCAATGTAAATCGTCACAAATTCGTGTGACGGAAAAATTAAGGAGAACCCTGATACAAGCATGGCTTAATACAGTAATTCAGGTTCAACAGAACTCGATGACATACAGTTGATTTAAATGCTTGATTTCTCAAGTAGGCCTAATTCATTTAGGTCATATCGACGAGCGGTCAATATTAAGCTAAGTAATAACTATTTTTATATTTACATTTCATGCCATGCATAAACGGAAACTGATCAGTAGTTACTGGGCTACCGTACTTTTTACAGTGAACCCACGGAGGACCCATGGTATAGGCCTATCATAAGTTAGCCAGAATAAGGGACATATATTAGTAATATTGCAACAAACAAATCTGTATAGACAAGCTGTATACAGTTTCACAGCGTAGTTCCGGGTGACTCAAAACCGTTCATTTACATTCCAATATTGATGACGCGGATCTTCAAAACAACTTGTAATTATTATTTATCAAGGGCGTCTCGAAGCTTTACAAAAAGTAGAGTAGGCCTATTTGTAGTGAAGGAGCAACGTGCATTATTTTTAGTGGTAAAGTATGCTTTGTTATATCTACTTGACAAAAAAAAAAAAAAAAAAAAAAAAAAAAGAAACACAAATTTCTGTCGAATACAATAACTAGGACTATTTATACTATACGACTATATTATCACTACTAGTACTAGTATTACTACTGCTGTTGCAGCACTAGAGTACTATTGTACTACAAAAGTGTTCATCATGTTCTTATTTTACAGACTAAAAATTATTTTTGTACAGCAGTATTACTGTACTGAAGAGGGTATTACAATAGTCACACCTACACATAAGGTACAGAAAAGACCAAAAGCATATACTGTTATTTTTTTTCTATTGGTTTTTCTATAGGCATAGAGTTAAAAAAAAAAAAGGGTTTTATTACCTCAGCCTAAATTTGTTCTCATTTTGTTCTTATTCTTTAAGCAATTTCAGCATCGGTGTTCTTTTAAAAAGTGTAATATACTACTATCATAGAGTAAAGATCCCTTCATGCTCAGGGACGTATCCACGGGGGGGGGGGGGTATGGTTCGGGAGAACCCCCTTTTCTAGCAAACCTCTTCTTTTTCGGCGAACCCCCCTCTTCAAATTTCCCAAATAAGTCCTCCAACCCAACTAATGCACTGCAGACCCACCTAGACACAGACGTTTTCAAACATATCTGATTTATAGCATTATTTAGACCCATAAAACACAAAGATCCTCTTGCTTTGGGGGTTTCGCCGACCCCACCGGGGACCTCACGCCCTAAAGTTGTGAATCAATGGAGCACTGCCATGGATCCAAACACCAAATAATTTATCCAAGCCAAAATTGATATTGTAATGCATGTTATGATGGACTTCCTTGGTCAATTTTCGTAGTCGTCTAAAATATTGGAAACACTGACTACAACCACCAACTGTTGATCCAAACGCGTGAGCCATATCTTAATAGGCTCATAAATAAGTCTCTGTTTTGTGACGTCACGCTGCTGCCAATTCCGATCATTGTTGATAAGAGGTCATGCGGTTATTGCGTCACAAACATCTTTTAGTTGACTGGCTCCACCATGGATTCATACCCTGGCAGGCCCTGTGGATTAAGTTGTGTCACGTGATGGATCTGAACGATCATGACGATGGTGATGACGATGATTATGATGTCAGATCGTGAAGGAAATAAGTATATGCCTCTACGGTCAGCAGATCAATGGGAGTATGAAGACAAATGAGATTTTGACAAGTAGAAAACGCATTGCGATACTGTATTTCGTATTAGTAGTTACTGTGTGAGAAATCAGTTCAGTTGTTCATATATATTGTTTTAACAATTTGTGTGTTTAAATTTTTAATTTAATTTTTACCTGCTGATAATTTGACTGATTAATTAATTAACTCACGTGTTTGTTTGGCTTGAGCCACGCGACGAAGCCTTTCATTTTAAAGTCAGCGCTAAAAAAGACGGACTAATAATAGGCCTACGTATAATTGTCGATCATATCAATCAATCAAGCAATCAATGGATTTATAAAGGCGCATAATACAGTAGTCTCTATGCGCCAAATAAAACAGACCAATGAAAGTGAAGCAAGCAAGCGAAGTGGGTGTGAGATTTAATACAAATGCATCACAATATGTTATACTTTTTATAGTATGGAAGTATAAGTGAGATTCGGTGATTCAGCTTCAATATCCTACAGGATGGTAATACAAAAATAATGTGCACAATGCCGTAGCCAGCTATTGGGACAGTTGGGCAGTCCCACACAATTTTTCTATTGGGTCCACAAATAATGGGTCTACATTTTAAAAATGTTTAAAGATTTCTCATATTATGTAAAATGGATAAACTTTTAAGAAAATTGGTTCAAATTTCTCCTATTTTTGCGTAAAACGGGTCAATTTTTAAGAAAATGGCTCCAGATTATTCATATTTTTGCATAAAATGGACAACTTTTAAGAAAATGCGTCCACATTATTTGAATTTACACGTAAAGTGGGTCCACCTAGCTGATATTGTCCTACACAGTTTGAAAATCTTGGCTACGGCATTGAATGTGGATAGACCTAATTGTATGTTAAGTATGAATACAAGTTTATTGCCACATATGATGCAGTGTACTAAGTTGCAGAAAAACTGAAATCTAAACAACAATAACAACAAAATAACAATAATATAAATAATTTTAAAAACACTATAGTGTATTAACAAATAGAAAGCAGAGAAATATTCTTTATTAACATAAAACACACAATTTTAATATTAAAATTGAAACATTAGTCACTGACAACATATTGTAGGCCTGTATACTCGATAAATCATGGTAAGGTACTGTATTTAAGAACGTTAACAATGAGGAAAATAAATGAAAATCACAGTACGTGTAGGCCACACAAGTTCTTGTCAATTGTTTTTAATTTAAATTTGACTTATTAATTAATAGATTAAGTTATTTTTTTTTCCATTAGGCCTATTTTTTTCATTTTTTTTGTAGACTTAAATACAAGTCATGGTTTATGGATATTCCCTCTTATTCTTCCAATTTATTCATACTCCAATCAAGATTCAAAAAGAAAACGTTCAGTGAATGAGTGCTGCCTCCCGATCCATACCGTACCGTACGTCACATGCTCTATTGTCAATACTCCTGGGTTTTAAAAAAGAGCAATCCAAGTGCAAGTTCATATAAGGTAAGATCGTGTTCTTTTACATGGGTTTTTTACACATTAATTCCGCACTGTAGTCACTGAGGTTAAATTCCTCAACGTGGATACGTGAAATGCTCAATCGACTGAAAACAATGATCGTCTGTATTACACGCGAATGCTCCCGCTCGATTTAAGTCCAGACTAGTTTCATGAGCAGTGTTCGTAAGTTGCAAGGTTCATCACCCATTTTGTTTAGTTTTGTTTTTGTGCTTATAATCTGCAATTAAGGAAAGCATTGATACGACTAAAGAAACGCTTAAATTGATTTAAAAACTCGTTTGCCTAAAATATTTAAGCATTCAAAGATTTTCCTTCTTCACTTTAAAAACAATAAAGACAGGTTTTAACACCGGGACTTAACACACTTTAAAAACTCTAGAGAACCAGTGATGTTTTTCTTAAAGTCGCATAAAAAGGCCTACAAATGTCCTTTGTGATCATATTAAGCACTAGGCATACACTACCATATCGTAATCTCGCTTGTTGTCACCATCAGATGATTATGACGATGATGATAAGATGATGATGATGGTGACGATGTTGATACAGTGATTATGATGATTATGCGCCGCGCTCCTGAGCCCACGAGTCAATTAACTCAACACCGCAATACATTATTGTAGTCTCGCTTGATGTCACCATCAGATGATGATGACGGCGATGATGATAGGATGATTATGATGGTGACGATGTTGATACAGTCGTTATGATTATGCGCCTCGCCGTGTTCCCGAGCCCACGAGTCAACGCACTCAACACCGCTTTGAAGTGTGAGCATGGACCTATTAATGATCTTATTAATAGGTCCATGGTGTGAGGTTGAATCACAGGACAAATCTACGAGGGCCAAATCCGGGTTTAGCGGAAACAAATCAACTCATTTTATATTAGTAAAGAATCTTAACAGTGATTCTAATCTTTCAATACACACTCACTAGTGCTAATTCTGAGTACGTGTGAGCAAGGAAAACTATCATGTGTATACTTGTCCCCATGCGGCTGATTCAAATAATGGCTCCAATCATTAACTCCTTTGTTCTTGGTTAAAATTGACATTTTAGTGCCGTCAGGTGCGCTGGGAATGAGTTATGCTGATTAATATATAACTAGACATCGGTTGATTACAGTTGTCTCTAGTCTGGGACTAAGGGGGCATCATCATTTATTATAGCTGCATGATTAAATTAATGATGACGATGATGATTTTTTGACAATAATTATGATTTGCTAGGCCTACTTGACTTGTGACGCACTATGGACAACGGAACCGTCACAAGCATCTTAACCGAAGCATCGTCATAACGCGATTCAAAAAAAAGTATAATATTCTGTAAAAATCAGCAAAAATTAATAAATGTCTTACAAGTATCATTATAAAAAATACATGAAGTTTAATTTAACTAGGCCTATATTTAGACCTAAAGGAAATAAATTATTATAATAATATCTACACTTATACATTCGGGGTGTCAGTGGTGGCTCCAGAAATTTGCCGACAGGGTCTGAATGCCTTCAAGTATGTTTTCCTACAGTTTTATTGTTTACCAGAAAATTAGCCTTTTAATTTGTATATACATACCAGGGATGGATTTAGGATGGAGGGGAGCGACCCTCCCCTCCCACTTTTTGAAAAAAAAAAAGAAAAAGAAAAGGAAGATAAAAAAAAAAAGAAAAGAAAAGAATGAAAGAAAAAGAAAAAAAATATCGCCTCAGAAGTTTTTCGGGCGACTAGTACACAAATTATTCGTGAGGGTATGCCCGCAGACCCCTAGTGTGCTGTAGTGTTATCTCGATCGGCCACACTTTCGGTACCCTTTCGCCCCCACCCCACCCCTTTCGGACATCTTTGGATACGCCCCTGAACGGCTCTTTCATGACCAACCCATCATTTTTCATAATCACAGTACGGCGGTGACGGAGATTTGGCAAACTGGGTTGTCATGATTTCAGTGAACCGGATTCGGCAGGGGTTCGTCAACCTGGATTTCGACGAACTGGTCCGGATACCAAAATGTCGTCATCATGTACCGTATTGTGGTTGTACAGCGCTCTTTCGTTAAAACCTGGGTCATTTATGCAGTTCATTTAAACAATTTTCAGGTAACTTCTGACTTAAGAAATAACGTTGCGATCGAAAAGTGGGGGACCAACACTTAAAAATATAAGGAGGACGTGCCCCTCCAAAAGAAAGGGGACGATCATGGAATGACCAAAATGCGGTACATCATCACACTGTGGCACCGTCACAATGTTCGTGCACATTGGTTGAGGTACCGTCAAACAAGTTAGCCCACCAATAGCGTCTTTTCATTCACCAGCATGTCAAAGTCTTGTGGAGAGTCTTCCTTTATGGCGGCTGGACAGTCCCCCAGGTTCTGGAATCTCTCATGCAGTGGCGGCGCCAGAATTTCCAGGATGTGGGGGGGGGGACCAAGGTCCCCAACGAAAGGGCTGATGTCTCTGACGATAAAAAAGTGGGCGTGGTCGGGCGTCCCTAAAAATCTTCCGAAAGTGGTCCAGGGGACGTAGCCCCCCTCCCCTCCGAACGAAAATATGACAATTTAGGGGTTTCAAAGGCTTATTTAATCGATTTTTGAGTCAAAATAGTACAAAATACATATAATTTTTTTGAATTTTTTTTTCTCCCTGACGTATTGTGGTTTTCTCCCCGATCGGGGGGGGGGGCTTCTCCGAGGGAGGATGTAGCCGTGCCTAGCCATCCCCCCCCCCCCCCGTAGCACCGCCACTGCTCTCATGACACCATCACAGGGGAGCAGCTTGGCTCAGTCGGCTAATCTGGTGGTAGCCACTGTGTGTGCGCTGAACCGTGGAGATCTCTAGGTCCCCAGTTCAATTCCCATCGCTGCCTCTCCTTGTGTTTCAGCTAGAGGGCTGAAATACAAGTTACATAGCGCACCGTCTTTCGGATGAGACGTTTAAGCCGTTGGTCCCGTGTGCATTTATCGCCCATGTGCACGTTAAAGAACACAGTACACTCTTCGGAAAAGACTAGGGGATTGTCTTCCGGTGTACTGTCCAATCACCACCAGAAGGACCCCACTGGAAATAAGTCTTCTTCTAGACTTTCGTGGGCTAACAGCTTAGAGAAACATCACTATCACTTCGAGTAAAGGCATCGCCACCGACGGTCGATAACAAACTTTTGGGAAGGCGCTTCCACCTATAGGCCTAAATCCGTTTATAAACATAGCGCGTGCTTTAAAGTCAGGCTCCGGAGGAAAAAATGTTTTGATATGTTGTAGGCTAGAACTGATTTTTCTAAGACAGAAAAAAGTTGTTTGACGAAAAACTGGGGAACGGTGAATGAGATACAGATTTTTTAATATTTAAAAACTGGGGGAAAAAGGGGCGTAACTGCCCATTTTTACACCTTATTCCCCCAGTTTTTTAATATTAAAATATCTGTATCTCATTCACCGTTCCCCAGTTTTTCGTCAAACAACTTTTTTCTGTCTTAGAAAAATCAGTTCTACAACATATCAAAAAATGTTTTTCCTCCGGAGCCTGACTTGAAGTATTACTATCTATAAAGTATATGCTGCAGAAGTTTATATTGTGGAAAAGGTTGGTTCCCTTTTGTTTAAATCCAGCTACATATGTAATTAATTATGTCACCGTATGGAGGTAATCGTGTTTTCTTTTCACGGTCTGCTAGTGGATCCATCTGCCCGTAAGCAGACGACATTTGTATCTGTTTATATCTAGGTGGTCTCATAGTTCATTGACTTTCTAAATTCCGTCAAGTAAGTACAGTAAATACTAATAATAAACAGGTCGTTTTTCTGTCTCGGTCCGACGAGTTGTGACGGGGATCCGACAGTTTTTCCCTTACCCTGTTGGTTCCGCCACTGAATAGTTGACTTGGCATGTACAGTACTGTAGTAACTTATCATCACTCGTTCCCAACGATTTGCCTATTGTGTAATTGTGTCAGGATATACTATGAGAGACGGATTTGCTAATTCCCACTAAAAATAGATCAGCCTAAAATGTGTATGCAAGCGGATAAGTACAGTAGCTGTAGATACGCTGTTGCACATAAAATGCATGTCTTGTTCTGAATGATTCGACGGCAAGTCGACGACGCCACGGCGCAGTCGGCGTTTTAGGGGTGACCGATTATCCTCGGGGTTCGTCTGCAAACAGAGATATTGCCTAACTTGTTGTGTTGTTTTCTTCGCACAGGCTCTGTTACTAATTTATCAAATTAACTAATTAAGTAACTAAGACAGAGTAGAGTATAAACGCCCTCTGATGCATGGTTTTACGTGGTAAAAAAAAGCTACAGGAAAGCAAACAAAAATGCCAGATATTCTCATGATTTTATTCGTTTTTAAAACTCAGGAAGTAGAATTAATCAACATAACAAGTACAGAAATAAGGTTTGTCTCTTCTGATCTGAATACGTGTGTATCTCAGAACGCCGCCTGCTCCGTTTCAGAGACAGCGCAACTGCTATACCGACTGTCGACACGCGTCTACGAGTGAGCGACAATACTTTCCATCACCATTCGAACACAGGCCACATAGGTAACCACAAGTATTACGTTTGTCTACAAAAATGCTTGCTTATGCATTTTGAAAATGATGATCAGGAGAGGTTTGGAACTACTGTATACCTAAAATACGATCCCCGGGAACGGCCTCGCAGACATCACCAACAATGAGTCAATCAAATTTCGCGAAATTTCAATACGGTAATACGAAATGTTAAAGATAGCATTTTGGTGTTAATTGTGAAGAGAGAGTATCAGTGGATTAAAAAACAATTATCATTTAGTTTCCCCAAAAGAAAGAAAGAATAAACGTCCTCTATGCTTTCCCATTATTTGCAGCAAAGAAAGATAGCGAAATGAAAGATGACGTCATAGTTTGCTAACGCTACTTCAACCAAGGACATATGGCCGTCGCCAGTCAAAACCTCTGAACGTCCTTGGGAGAAAAGACCGTAACATATAAAC